GTATCTGGTGACGAAGAGAATCAGCAACAACGCCAGATTCCGCAGGGCTCCAGGTTTCCTGCTGACGAGGAGCTGAAATTGCCCCTTAAGAAGAGGCTGCGTTCGCGTGTAGCTGGGGCGGGTTTTGGTGATGGTGAATATGATCCCCAGGAGCAACAGCAGCATCAGCCTCTCCATGGACCCTCTGGAGCTCATTTAAGTTTACCCTTACCCCAAGCAGGTCCAAGGCCGGAGCAGCGTGGCCACTCACAAACCCCGGTCGAGCAACCAGCTGCGCATTTTCTGCAAATGCAAGTGCCGATGCAGTTCGATGTAGGCGCAGGGCAGCTGAATCTCCTCCCTAACCGGCATGATTCTGGGCATGTAGCTTGTACTGTATGCCAAAGAAATTATCTTCTGCTGCTTAAGTTGCAGGAGGAGATGGGCATAATGCAGCGGAGGTTAAACCGGCTTGAGATGCTGCTGCAGCTGCAGCAGAACGCTCTGTTCCAACAGCAACCACATTTGCTTTGGCACGGCCTGGATTTGCTCCAGCAACAGCAGCATCAGCATATCCAGCAGAGAGAACGGCACGACGGGTCTCAACAGGAGGAGCAGAACCCGTGGCAACGGGAGGTGCACCAGCAGGCAAGGGCACGTGAGGAGCAACAAGTGACGCTAGAGGAAAAGAGTGGACAGCAACACGATCCAACCACGGGGCGGCGGAAACGAAAGCGGGGACAGCAGGAGGGTGCGGAGCTTCTGGGGGAGCCACAGAGCCAGCATCTGAAACCTGCTGAATCGGTCTCGGCGCCTATGGTAGAAGATGCGTGGCTCACCCACGGCCCTCCAAGGCTTCAGACACCTCAGCCCAGCACCTCTCAACAGGCGTTACAGTCTACGGCTGCTGCTGTACCAGCAGGTCCCTCGACGCCCGAGGGCATCGAGATCCAGGCGATTCCGGGATTTTCACAACCTCATCATCCCCCATCTCATCCAGCTGCTGTTGCATCGGCTTCAAGTTATGACGCTGATGCACCTGGTACCTCAGAGGATGGAGGGCCAGCAGCCGCACTTTATAGGCGTAATGCTGACATGCCGCTTGCTGCATCGATGTCTGCGGGGGTGAGCATGGGCGTGGGGGTGGAGCATCTTGGTGGTGTACTGACGAATAACAGCTCTGCAAGTGTAGAAGCATCTTCAGCAAGAGCAGGCTCTATTGTCGTTGCCTCTGTATCGATAGCGACAACCACAAAACGGAGAGGGAAGGCAGGCTCTCCACTTCCTTCAGTGAAAGAACACCCTTTTGTGCATTTGCCGAGGCTAACAGTTGAAGGGCCTCCAGTTGAGTGTTCGGTTGACGTTAAGCGCGCCGTGTCCACTCCGCCCGGCAGGCGGTTCCCCGTGCCCTTGCTGCAGAAGTCCCTTCGGCTCTTTTTGCAGCCAATGTTGAATGCTGCACAGATGAAGGAGTTGGCGACATTGACAGAACAGCTGATAGGGCACGCAATGTTCCATCAACGTTACGACGTCTCACATGTGAAACCTCACCGCGCAGCTGAACGGCTGGGGGTACGTTTCCTCGTCCTGGAAACGGTGGTTTCCACCCTCATTGTGCTGCATCAGACACCAGACCCTGTCGCTTGGAAGCAACTCACCGATGCCATTAGCCACGCTCAGCCCCTGCCGACCCCACAAGGACACTACGCAGGGCGACGCCGATTCTTCACTACTCTGGCCGCGGAGCTCAGCAGTGCGATAAAAACACTCAAGACAGGAAGGAGACCAGATCCTGCAGATCTTCTGGATATCAAGCTGAAGCTCTTCTGTCACAAATACTCTCCTCCGCGTTTGAAGGAAGCGGATTTCGATATCTGGAGACAGTGTGACAGGGATTTCACCGAGGAACCCTAGCTTCTCGCGCCGGTAGTGCGGATTTCTTGTAGACTCCAGTGCAAGGGACGGGAAAACTAAGGAGAACAGGAATCAGCATTTTAGCGACCACTCATGTGTGCTGTGCTGGCCTGTCTTTATCAGTCATCCGCTGTTCTCCCGTGGATGACTTCTAATCCTTCCGACCAACCACTGGACGCCGTTGTTTTA